CTCCACCTCCACTTAACAAGTTAGATACTGACAGAATTAGATCATATAATACTTGCCCTACTGACAAAAACACAGATTGTGCCCTACTGACAGAAACAGATTACATAGTGTTTGCCCTAATGACAGTATCAGATTACACAGTGTTTGCCCTAATGACAGTATCAGATTACAGTGTTTCCCCTACTGACAGCATCAGCTTACACAGTGTTTGTCTTACTGACAGCATCAGATTACAGTGTTTGCCCTACTGACAGTGTCAGCTTACACAGTGTTTGTCTTACTGACAGCATCAGATTACACATTGTTTGTCTTACTGACAGCATCAGATTACACATTGTTTGCCCTACTGACAGCGTCAGATTACACAGTGTTTGCCCTACCGACAGTGTCAGATTACACAGTGTTTGCCCTAATGACAGTATCAGATTACAGTGTTTCCCCTACTGACAGTGTCAGATTACCCAGTATTTACACATTGTTTGCCCTACTGACAGCGTCAGATTACACAGTGTTTGCCCTACCGATAGTGTCAGATTACACAGTGTTTGCCCTAATGACAGTATCAGATTACAGTGTTTCCCCTACTGACAGTGTCAGATTACACAGTGTTTGCCCTAATGACAGCATCAGATTACAGTGTTTGCCCTACTGACAGTGTCAGATTACCCGGTACACAGTGTTTGTCCTACTGACAGTGTCAGATAACCCATTATTTACCCTACTGACAGTGTCAGATTACCCAGTGTTTGCCCTACTGACAGTGTCAGATTACCCAGTGTTTGTCCTACTGACAGTGTAAGATTACCCAGTATTTACCCTACTGACAGTATCAGATTACCCAGTGTTTGTCCTACTGACAGTGTCAGATTACCCAGTATTTACCCTACTGACAGTGTCAGATTACCCGGTACACAGTGTTTGTCCTACTGACAGTGTCAGATTACCCAGTATTTACCCTACTGACAGTGTCAGATTACCCAGTATTGACCCTTCTGACAGTGTCAGTTTACCCGGTACACAGTGTTTGTCCTACTGACAGTGTCAGATTACCCAGTATTTACCATATTAACAGTGTTAGATTACCCGGTACACAGTGTTTGTCCTTCAGACAGTGTCAGATTACCCAGTATTTACCCTACTAACAGTGTCAGATTACATACTGTTTGCCTTATTGACTGTGTTGGATTGAACAGCATTTACCTTATCAGGTTACAGAAAATACTACTTGTTTCAGATTACTGAGTTTTTGCCAGAATCAAAAAGTCACCAACCAGATATTTTACTGTAGATAGATCTGCTTACAAAGGTATTGTGAATGTACTCTGCAGTGTCTGGATTATGGATATACGTGTGACTTGTGGTTGATGTTCCATCAACCATGATTGTATATATGTGCTTACTTAGAATTATTCTAGAATAATGTTAAAGGAAAATCTCAGGTTGTTGGCAATCATAGATTAACAAATGGATAGGAGTGTGTGTACCTTAGTTACTGGTGACTCTGCCAACAGATCTGTGAGGATCTGACATTCAGCTGGTCAGCATGCCAACTGTACTGTGTGGATAGTCACTGCTATTGTGTTTATTGTACCAACTGGTCAGACACTTTGTCTAAACATTTGTCACAGCTGTAATATGGAAATGTTAAGGATACCATACAATGAGATTGTCCTGTCATTTAATTATTATAAGTCTTCTACCTGCCCTTGCTGATATGTTGCCCTCCCACTTTTGGGCTGATGGTAATTACTCATTTTTTGTGGTATTGACTTGTATAAGACTCCTCTGGGAAAGTGTTGATTAGTATCATGGAATATCAATGTCTGCATAACTTCAGTGGGGAAGAAGCTAAATGTTATGATTTCTACTATTAAGGGGAATGAACTCTGTAACAATTTCTGTTTTTTAAAGGGAGGTAACTTTGTGTAATGATTTCAACTTCAAAGGGGAAGTAACTCTGTGTCCCAGTGTTTATTTCCAATAAGATCACCCAAACCCAGCTGATGGAAAGCATGGTCATGTTTATGCGTTCAACTTGGAGGAGGGGGTTGGGACATGTGGAGGATATACCTTAGAGGAGGTCCTCAAGTGTAATATTTAACTGTACAGATACTCCTGTAATCTAAGGAAATAGGTGATAGCGTAACAAAAACAGGGGAAAACGCTACTCGCAGGAGACATTCGATCTTCATCCCAGACAACATATTTGAAACATTTGTAACAGATGTTAGATATATATACAGCATTAAAATCAAGCATTGTAACAGGTCCACTTAGGCAAGTATAAACACAGCCCATGTAACACTCTTCAAGCTAGCAAACATTTACAGATTGAATTCAGCACGTATCAAAACAATACACTGTCATACATAAGTCGGGTCAGGACTCGGATGGGATTGAGTAGAAGTGGGTGGCAGTAAAAACATGTGATATTACATTACCACAGTAAGGTTGGCAGAACCCCAGATAAAACATCGGTACATGTTTCATTGCAAAACTCATGCACAAAGGTCAGACTAAAGGATAGTTGGATGATACTGCTGGTGTTGTGACCATGAGTTTTATCTTCAAGTGGAGAGGTGAAAACTTTGATGCTATTTCCCCCTAATGATAAAATACAAAGCATATAAAATAACATTTTGTAGCAGACATGGAAACAAGGCATGCAGATAGATGTACGGGTTACTAAATTGTCAGGGAACGTGCTGGCCTGTTAAACCAGATTGTTCCAAGCAATTTGATTATGACATTGCTATTTAGTTGCTGTTTTTGAGTTACATACAATATGTGCACAAAATCTTACAAACAACATTGTAACTGGTTTCTTAATTCTGAAAGGTTTGATTTGCTTTAAAAAATGGAAACTTTGTATTAAAAGTCACCTCTATTATGAGTTTGATGTCTCACTTTGTATTTAGGTGTTTCACTCCCCAAAGTGTTGGGTTGTCACAAGTGTTGTAACATTTTAAGATATTTTACTTGCTTAGAAGTCTCGCTTAGTATTTGAACTATGAAGAAAAAAATTACTTTATGTTTTATGATTGTAGATGTGTATGACAAAACAATATGTCTTAGAAAGAAGTATATATGAACATTGTGCAGGAAAATAAACATGTTGTTTATTTTCTTACTTTGTTGTCTTGGCACGATTTGACATTTTTCCTGTGCACAATAACAAGCCAAGAAGTGCATTGCTAGACTCCATGATAAACAGAGGTAATTTAATTTAGGCCAATTACCAAATAATTACACGTATTTGTTGTTGGGTCCAAAGAGTGCATTAGAAGGCAATATGTGACAGTGTAGATTGTGTCAGTTACATGACTGAACCCGACATGGAGGTCTTAATGCCATCTCTATTTCTCCTTCACACTCAGACTCCCTCTCACTCTGCAGAATATCATATTTCACCTGTTAAATGTACATGTCTTGTGCTTGGTATTTAAGTGTTATGTACATATATATATACTGCATGCACACATTTTCCTCTGACATTCTCAGGTGTTTTCTGGTAAAAGCCTGTAGCCCTTGTGTATAAGTTAAGTTTGGCTAAATTCTTGTTTGAAGTAATTTTTGCTCTTACCGTGTAGTTCCCTGTTATTCGTGTTGAACAATGTGTACCAGGACTTGTACTCTTCTCAAAGGAACAACAGCCTGTACATTTGATATTCTGCCATTGTATTTAATACACATTAAAGCGTCAACCCTTTCAAATTTCGTTGGAGTCTTCAGATGTTTTATCTGTGATTGTTACTTTTGACATGAATATATTTTCTAAACCTTTCAGTTATATAAAAATTAAATATTTTTTCATGGATTAACTTAGATTAATCATTTCCTATTTTAATTGGTCATAAAGGGCATTGTTTTTAGGTAATGTTGGTCTATACGGAGATTTCATCCAATAAGCATAGGTATCCTTAGACCATAGTTTGTCTCTCTTACCTGGCACTCTAATGGTGATCTAGTGTCTGTGGTACATTATATTACTATCTATGAAATTTCATGAAATAATTATTGGTAATTGACCTCTATTAGAATTGTAGCTGTGCCACCATACTGACAGAATAGTGCTGTTGACTGATCTTTTGACACAGTACTGACAACAGTAGTGATTAACGGTTGACAACAGCACTGCTGTGACTGGCATGTGTAGGTTAGTGTAAGCTATGGTAGCATTGTTTTTTATGCCCCCTCCTCCCTGGAATACTGGTACTGACGTGTTTTGAGGTACTGACATGTGGTGGAGGGCCAGTCGTGTTACACAACTCCCCACAGGAAAGCAGGGTCTATGATCCCCTGCCAAATCTCTGTTTTCTATTTACAGTAGTGTTCTGTTGTATAGGGAGGATATTGTCGTAGCTAGACACCCTATTGTAATGGCAGGGTCTGTAGCTCTACATATGTTTGCTATTATCCTTATATCTTCCATTTGTATACAAGTTTGTAATAATCTTGATATCTCCCATTTGTTCAATGACCGTATATGATTTTTATCAGATCAAACAAATATAATGAATTCTTTCATGATATAAAACATATCCTGTATACTTCTGCCTATATATGATAATATATGTTATGTGAGGAAATTGTTTGAAGTTATCTCCCTTACGTTGATCCGACTCTTATGTCCTAGTGAATTCATCCCCTTTCTTTGATATTTATGTCAAAGAACCAATAAGAGTTATTTCCCTTTTGATGATCTGACTTATCCCCATCGTCTGTTCCANATCTCCCATTTGTTCAATGACCGTATTTGATTTTTATCAGATCAAACAAATATAATGAATTCTTTCATGATATAAAACATATCCTGTATACTTCTGCCTATATATGATAATATATGTTATGTGAGGAAATTGTTTGAAGTTATCTCCCTTACGTTGATCCGACTCTTATGTCCTAGTGAATTCATCCCCTTTCTTTGATATTTATGTCAAAGAACCAATAAGAGTTATTTCCCTTTTGATGATCTGACTTATCCCCATCGTCTGTTCCAGGAACATGGAGTGAATGTTACAGGTTAGGATGTGGCCCAGGAGGGGAGACAACTCGGCCAGTCACCTGCAAGCTGGTTAGCTCCAATGGCGTCATCACCACTACTCATGAGTCAAACTGCGGCCACCTGCGGAAGCCACCAGAGCGACAAGAATGCTTCAAGGTGTGCCGCGAGCACCGCTACGAGGTCAGATGGGCATGGACCCCATGGGAGCAGTGCAAATTGGAGCCAGGGGTCAAAGTCTGCGCCAAGGGGCGGGGCATTTCATACCGCAATGTGTCTTGTGTGTGGAAGGAAAATGGAAAGCTTGAAAAAGATTCTGTGTGTTTATCATTTGAGGAAAAACCTCCAACAAAAAAGCGATGTGAGCTTCGTTGTGAACAGAACTGTGTAGTGACAGAGTTCAGTCCGTGGACCAGCTGTGATCAATGTAGAGTTTTAAACAAAACACGGACGCGGACTATTCTGGTGCCAGATTCTAATAGTGGCCAGATGTGTCCACCTTTCTCTGAATTAATGCCTTGTAATAACTGTTCTCAGATGTTCTTCTTGTCGGTGGACGCTTGGACACCATGTGTGCCATTCTCGTTCGCCGGTTCCGATCAAAATCCAAACAACCCTGTGATAGGTCACCAAACACGCAAAATTAAATGTGTCAACACATATGGAGCACTTGTCGACTCGACGTGAGACCACGATAAATATATGAAATTATTTCTGATAAGTTCATTAAGCCCAAAAGAACAATTTTATTTGAAAATTCCTCTATAAACTTTGTGGCATTTTGAATGGTATTTCAAAGTAACTGGAATCATGCAAACAATTTTCGATAAATCAAACGTACATGGTATTGATACTTAATAACTTCACTGTGTTGGTAATGATTCAGGCTTATGTTCCTGAAAAAAGTTACTGGAGAATATTGAGAAATTTGCAGTTTATTGAAATATCACAAAAACCTAAATATCAACATAACATATGAATCATGTTCCAACTCATCTTAGTTCGTAACTAAGTCATATAATCCTGATCACATGAGGGACTGTCAAATCAAATTTCTTGATAAATCCGGGTGATTTAAGGATGGTTTCCTTTAATTACAAATTCTGTTGTGTCAATTATTTACAAATATTTACATGACAATAAATTTACCGATATTGTTGCGATACTCTATTTACAGATGTTGCCATAACACTATTTTTATTGATATTTTCGTAACATTTTCTTTACAGATATTGCCGTGACCGCTTGAATCTCCGGGAGCCCATTGTAGATCATCAAGCTTGCATCATTCCTAAGAGTTGCATTGTGTCGGAGTGGTCTTCCTGGGACCGTATCAACAGCAGCTGTATAGACAGTACGGGTATGAAGAGGGTCGGTTTAATCCAACGCTCACGTCGTGTCATTCAACTTCCTGTTGGAACGGGAACAGCATGTCCAGCTCTCGAAGAAGTCACACAAGTTCAGGGAACTGCTCAGCGAAAATGTTCGAGGTATAAAGAGGTGTACACAAGCTATTGAAATACTGTCTTTGATGTGCATGGTCCTCGGCCTGTATTTACGAAACTGTTCTCTTGCTCAAACTCAGATTCAGTTCTGTTTCAATGAATATTTGAAATAGAAATTCACATTTTGTCAACGACATGGAAGAATATTGGAGTTCAAAATACTGTTTTCAGATTTTAAACTTTACTTTTTGACCATGTCACTTGATTCAAGCGAGGTACAAGAAAGTTGGTTTGAGCATAGAAACCATGCATAAGCGTGAGAATGATTTCATGGATACGGACCCTGGCTTATAGCTCTCAAAGCATAGTATGTTAACCCTGTCCAAACCAGACCTTGTCTACTTGGGAAAGTGGTGTTTAACTAATCTTTCTGTTTAAATTATTGTTAATACGCCTTTTATCATTATGGCCATTCAAATTTTCCTTTGTCGGCTATCTCCACGAAAGAAAAATCCAGAGGTAAATACAATACGCAGACAATCCGTTACCAGTGCTACCTTTCAAAGTATTTTAATTTACATATATACCCAACATCACTGTATAAACTGATCAACCTTGTATAAACTGGCCATTAATACCTTCATGTCCCAGACAGATTACACTGTATACAAACTTTTGGTACTACAGACGTGGGGTACGTGAAGTCCGAATGACTTACTTACAGACAAAGGATAACTAGAAGGCAGATTCTATTTCTTTATCTGCTGTCTTTTATTTTCTACATTTCTTGCTTTAGAACAAAATGGATCGTATCTGGATGGTCAAGTTGTCAACCTGTGAATGGCCTGAAGCAGTGTAGTACAGGGCTACAGCATAGGAAAGCAATTTGTGTGGAGGAAAATCGTAAGTCAGAGTTCTAACACGTACTACTAAACAGTTGTACCTGGTATATAATATGTGTGGAGGAGAATCGTAAGTCAGAGTTCTAACACGTACTACTAAACAGTTGTACTTGGTATATAATATGTGTGGAGGAGAATCGTAAGTCAGAGTTCTAACACGTACTACTAAACAGTTGTACTGGGTATATAATATGTGTGGAGGAGAATCGTAAGTCAGAGTTCTAACACGTACTACTAAACAGTTGTACTGGGTATATAATATGTGTGGAGGAGAATCGTAAGTCAGAGTTCTAACACGTACTACTAAACAGTTGTACTGGGTATATAATATGTGTGGAGGAGAATCGTAAGTCAGAGTTCTAACACGTACTACTAAACAGTTGTACTGGGTATATAATATGTGTGGAGGAGAATCGTAAGTCAGAGTTCTAACACGTACTACTAAACAGTTGTACTGGGTATATAATATGTGTGGAGGAGAATCGTAAGTCAGAGTTCTAACACGTACTACTAAACAGTTGTACTGGGTATATAATATGTGTGGAGGAGAATCGTAAGTCAGAGTTCTAACACGTACTACTAAACAGTTGTACTGGGTATATAATATGTGTGGAGGAGAATCGTAAGTCAGAGTTCTAACACGTACTACTAAACAGTTGTACTGGGTATATAATATGTGTGGAGGAGAATCGTAAGTCAGAGTTCTAACACGTACTACTAAACAGTTGTACTGGGTATATAATATGTGTGGAGGAGAATCGTAAGTCAGAGTTCTAACACGTACTACTAAACAGTTGTACTGGGTATATAATATGTGTGGAGGAGAATCGTAAGTCAGAGTTCTAACACGTACTACTAAACAGTTGTACTGGGTATATAATATGTGTGGAGGAGAATCGTAAGTCAGAGTTCTAACACGTACTACTAAACAGTTGTACTGGGTATATAATATGTGTGGAGGAGAATCGTAAGTCAGAGTTCTAACACGTACTACTAAACAGTTGTACTGGGTATATAATATGTGTGGAGGAGAATCGTAAGTCAGAGTTCTAACACGTACTACTAAACAGTTGTACTGGGTATATAATATGTGTGGAGGAGAATCGTAAGTCAGAGTTCTAACACGTACTACTAAACAGTTGTACTGGGTATATAATATGTGTGGAGGAGAATCGTAAGTCAGAGTTCTAACACGTACTACTAAACAGTTGTACTGGGTATATAATATGTGTGGAGGAGAATCGTAAGTCAGAGTTCTAACACGTACTACTAAACAGTTGTACTGGGTATATAATATGTGTGGAGGAGAATCGTAAGTCAGAGTTCTAACACGTACTACTAAACAGTTGTACTGGGTATATAATATGTGTGGAGGAGAATCGTAAGTCAGAGTTCTAACACGTACTACTAAACAGTTGTACTGGGTATATAATATGTGTGGAGGAGAATCGTAAGTCAGAGTTCTAACACGTACTACTAAACAGTTGTACTGGGTATATAATATGTGTGGAGGAGAATCGTAAGTCAGAGTTCTAACACGTACTACTAAACAGTTGTACTGGGTATATAATATGTGTGGAGGAGAATCGTAAGTCAGAGTTCTAACACGTACTACTAAACAGTTGTACTGGGTATATAATATGTGTGGAGGAGAATCGTAAGTCAGAGTTCTAACACGTACTACTAAACAGTTGTACTGGGTATATAATATGTGTGGAGGAGAATCGTAAGTCAGAGTTCTAACACGTACTACTAAACAGTTGTACTGGGTATATAATATGTGTGGAGGAGAATCGTAAGTCAGAGTTCTAACACGTACTACTAAACAGTTGTACTGGGTATATAATATGTGTGGAGGAGAATCGTAAGTCAGAGTTCTAACACGTACTACTAAACAGTTGTACTGGGTATATAATATGTGTGGAGGAGAATCGTAAGTCAGAGTTCTAACACGTACTACTAAACAGTTGTACTGGGTATATAATATGTGTGGAGGAGAATCGTAAGTCAGAGTTCTAACACGTACTACTAAACAGTTGTACTGGGTATATAATATGTGTGGAGGAGAATCGTAAGTCAGAGTTCTAACACGTACTACTAAACAGTTGTACTGGGTATATAATATGTGTGGAGGAGAATCGTAAGTCAGAGTTCTAACACGTACTACTAAACAGTTGTACTGGGTATATAATATGTGTGGAGGAGAATCGTAAGTCAGAGTTCTAACACGTACTACTAAACAGTTGTACTGGGTATATAATATGTGTGGAGGAGAATCGTAAGTCAGAGTTCTAACACGTACTACTAAACAGTTGTACTGGGTATATAATATGTGTGGAGGAGAATCGTAAGTCAGAGTTCTAACACGTACTACTAAACAGTTGTACTGGGTATATAATATGTGTGGAGGAGAATCGTAAGTCAGAGTTCTAACACGTACTACTAAACAGTTGTACTGGGTATATAATATGTGTGGAGGAGAATCGTAAGTCAGAGTTCTAACACGTACTACTAAACAGTTGTACTGGGTATATAATATGTGTGGAGGAGAATCGTAAGTCAGAGTTCTAACACGTACTACTAAACAGTTGTACTGGGTATATAATATGTGTGGAGGAGAATCGTAAGTCAGAGTTCTAACACGTACTACTAAACAGTTGTACTGGGTATATAATATGTGTGGAGGAGAATCGTAAGTCAGAGTTCTAACACGTACTACTAAACAGTTGTACTGGGTATATAATATGTGTGGAGGAGAATCGTAAGTCAGAGTTCTAACACGTACTACTAAACAGTTGTACTGGGTATATAATATGTGTGGAGGAGAATCGTAAGTCAGAGTTCTAACACGTACTACTAAACAGTTGTACTGGGTATATAATATGTGTGGAGGAGAATCGTAAGTCAGAGTTCTAACACGTACTACTAAACAGTTGTACTGGGTATATAATATGTGTGGAGGAGAATCGTAAGTCAGAGTTCTAACACGTACTACTAAACAGTTGTACTGGGTATATAATATGTGTGGAGGAGAATCGTAAGTCAGAGTTCTAACACGTACTACTAAACAGTTGTACTGGGTATATAATATGTGTGGAGGAGAATCGTAAGTCAGAGTTCTAACACGTACTACTAAACAGTTGTACTGGGTATATAATATGTGTGGAGGAGAATCGTAAGTCAGAGTTCTAACACGTACTACTCAACAGTAGTACATTGTACTTGGAATATACTTCTCTCAAAGCAGTGCGCATAATGCATTGTGTTTGTTGACCAGGTTTCACAAATTTTCCTTAGCTTGAGTTAAAAAAAAACAGAATTTTATTTCCTTAAAACATGATCACTATATAGCAACTCTAAAAATAAAAAGGTGATATACGGTTATTGCTGATGTTTTAAATGGTAACATAGTGGTTAAGACAAAATAAATAAGGTTTTACTCTGTGCTTGTAGATGATGGTCGACAGAAACCAGTGGATGACAACAAGTGTCTAGATGACAGACCGCTGACGTCACAAACGTGTCGAGCCGACTGTCACTGGGACTGCACAGTGTCGCTATGGTCAATGTGGTCGGACTGTAAGGTGACCGATTGTGAGCAGTACGCTCGGAAAAGGCGTGCAAACCTCAACACAGGTACAAGATACAGAGTGTAGTATATATACTGTACAGTAGGTACGTTCAGAAAAGGCGTGCAAACCTCAATACTGGTACAAGTCAAACATACAGATACAGAGTGTATAGTATATATACTGTACAGTACGTACGCTCAGAAAAGTCGTGCAAACCTCAATATTGGTACAAGTCAAACATACAGATACAGAGTGTAGTATATATACTGTACAGTACGACATTCAGAAAAGGCGTGCAAACCTCAATACTGGTACAAGTCAAACATACAGATACAGAGTGTAGTATATTTACTGTACAGCACGAAATGTTTGGTGTAGTTAACTCGCCTTCTGTAATAAAGACTTTTTATAATGGGAATACCAGAAGTAATTATATATTATAGTGGGTTTATATAGATTGTACAGGTAAATGTTTGAGTAAAAACAATCCCAATATCCAATTTTTAAGTGGGGATACAAAAACCTGATCTATTTCAAGTAAAAATTACTGATCTAAAACAACAGAGGACCTTTAATGTGACCTTCCTCAGTCAATCACTTTAAATTTACGGATAGAAAGATTATATATATTTTAATTCGGATCAAATATTTGCGAGATGTTAAACATTTGTGATTCACAAAATACAGCCCTAAAAACACATTCAGCAAAATGTTAACTTATCTCCAAATTGATTGTAAATGCAAAAAATATTCAATATGATCACTTGTTCATATTTTTGTCAAACATTTATATTTTCTGGTTTCCAGGACAACGGTACCGTACGCGTGAGACATTGACCCTCCCTGGATCTGGAGGTCAGCCCTGTCCACACCTGAGCGAGACCCAGAACTGTGACCCCGAGCCATGCTACAACTGGAAAGTGGTCACAAACCCCTGTATTCTCCGCAACAACAATATGGGCGAGTCCTGTGGGGTGGGCATCGGTCACCGCACCCTTGCTTGTCTCAACAAGTACAAGGTAGGGTATTAGATCGATGTCCTATTTAATACCAGTTGACAGATGGCTCATCACATCCCTCCAAGATGAATTGCTGTATAAGTCCTATTTGAATAATTGAGTCCTGTTATGATTTTATCATTTGATTATTGAAATTAAAACAAAGTAATTGTGGATGTTAGGAATAATGGGATGATCCTGATGTGATGATTTTAATGATGTGTGAGAATTACTGTGGTAGACAATTATCTTCGTCTCTTTCCTGTGCTGATCGTGACAGAGATTTCTATCTCGCACCCCGTTTACTGTGTGTGACATTGCAATGGGACAACAATGATGTGTGAGGATTACTGTGGTAGACAATTATCTTCGTCTCTTTCCTGTGCTGATCGTGACAGAGATTTCTATCTCACACCCCATTTAATGTGTGTGAGGATTACTGTGGTAGACAATTATCTTCGTCTCTTTCCTGTGCTGATAATGACAGAGATTTCTATCTCGCACCCCGTTTAATGTGTGTGACATTGCAATGGGACAACAATGATGTGACATCACAAAATTGGGGAAATGTGATGCCTTTTTGTGGTATCTGAGCAAATTCTGATTACATTGTATAGGAATGAGAGAAAAAATACTCTCTCATGCCGTTGGGTCCAGGTTTGGAAAATTCAGGATTTTCAAATTGGTGCAAAACCCTCATAAACATCCGGTTTTACCCAATTTTAAAATATATTTGGTGGAATAGGTTGAATTTTCCATATCCTATGCGCCCTAGATATAAAAGAGTCTTATATTCTGACCCTTCAGATTTAGATATCTTATTCTCTTTCCCTGGACAAGTTGATAATCAAATGACATCTGATTAGGCAATCGGTATACAGTATAATGTTAACCATGTCACTGGTGAGAGATTTTAGCAACATTCACCCCTTTGGATGAGATGGGGAAATCTCAACCCACAGAGTAAGCATGATGTTGATATGTGATCTTACAGATTTGGTTTGATAATTTATAAATGTTACCCCTCAGTTTGAGATTTGTTTGTGTGACCCCCCAAGGGAGTGAGCAATTCTATTACTCTCCATCACAAAGTTGAAGTTTGATTTATTATATATTTTTGAATTCAGTCCTTTCTGTCTCATAAACATGCAGAGCCACTAGATCACTGTTCTGCATCTTCCTCCTACCTCGTTATTTAGGACTTACATGACACACAGCCCTTGCTTTAATTGTTTCCGTTAACTTTTCCATCAGATCCGTGTGTCTGACAGCCTGTGTCTAGAATTCCGTGAGCGCCCAGAGACCCAAGTCCAATGTGTGATACCGTGTCCCAATGATTGTGTGGTGTCCGACTGGGGGATCTGGTCCGAGTGTCCAGACCGATGTCAGACAGGAAATCTTCGAGAACGGTCTATCAAACGACGGAAACGGACTATCCTCGCAAGGCCATTTTCAGGTAAAGTCAGAACAGCAGAAAAGAACTCCATACCCATTCACAGTAGTATCCCCTTCCCACTGCTTCTACAGGGTATTGTGATAGCAGACACAGTGAAGCTATATGTAAAGAGAGATAACTCCATTTTAGTGATACCTCAGTGCTGATGTAAATGCAATGATGATTTTGAATAACTGGAGTTGTTTTGTTTATCCTATAAATAAACGTGTTTCATCTCTGATATTAGATGTATAAGTTAGAGTAAGAATGTATTTTTAGGGAAAAAAACAGCATGCAAAAAAAATGTCTGGAAAATCAAAATGCACCTTATAAAACCAATAGTGTATATATATCCATAACAAAGTAACTGTTTAACAGATGCTCAAATAAACCCACCTATGTTGTATTAGATTTATGATATTAAAAGGAAAAATACATTCTGTGTTTATTGTGAAAATAGTATAGTTGTTTTGTTTTCAGGAGGTGGTGAGTGTCCGAACCCTAGGGAGCTAGAGGAGACTGCAGACTGCTCCACCCTGATCGAGTGTGCCTTGTTTATGTGGCAGGCTGACCCCTGGGGCACGTGTCAGTTAGAGGATCTGACCCGACCATGTGGGCGTGGCACACAGACTCGTAGCGTCAAGTGTTATGACTCTGAGGGAAAACTAGAATCAGAGGAAAAGTAAGATACTGTTATAATTAATAAAAAGCGTCATACTTATAGCATTGGAAAATCAATACTTTCTGAACATTACATGAATATGACCCTGTTAAATGCCCTTTAAATTCTGTAAAAGCTTGTTATAGGATTGTTTAAAAAAAAATGTTATGCAGGTCTTGGTTACTTGAGTGTTATAAACATATTAATGTAACACAGATATGGGTTATTGGAGTGTTATAAGCCTATTTATGTAACACAGATCTGGGTTATTGGAGTGTTATAAGCCTATTTATGTAACACAGATCTGGGTTATTGGAGTGTTATAAGCCTATTTATGTAACACAGATCTGGGTTATTGGAGTGTTATAAGCCTATTTATGTAACACAGATCTGGGTTATTGGAGTGTTTTAAGCCTATTTATGTAACACAGATCGGGGTTATTGGAGTGTTCTAAGCCTATTTATGTAACACATATCTGGGTTATTGGAGTGTTATAAGCCTATTTATGTAACACAGATCTGGGTTATTGGAGTGTTATAAGCCTATTTATGTAACACAGATCTGGGTTATTGGAGTGTTATAAGCCTATTTATGTAACACAGATCTGGGTTATTGGAGTGTTATAAGCCTATTTATGTAACACAGATCTGGGTTATTGGAGTGTTATAAGCCTATTTATGTAACACAGATCTGGGTTATTGGAGTGTTATAAGCCTATTTATGTAACACAGATCTGGGTTATTGGAGTGTTATAAGCCTATTTATGTAACACAGATCTGGGTTATTGGAGTGTTATAAGCCTATTAATGTAACACAGATCTGGGTTATTGGAGTGTTATAAGCCTATTTATGTAACAGATCTGGGTTATTGGAGTGTTATAAGCATGTTAATATAATACACATCCTTGTTAGATAGGTGTGGTTGATATGTGTTTCAACAATAAGTTAAATGTTTAATTGTTACTCTAGGTGTACGGATAAGGTAAAGCCAGTAGCTCAGAAAGTGTGCACAGTACCTTGTCCCCAAGACTGCATTGTTACCGAGTATTCTGATTGGTCGGGGTGTTCTGCTAACTGTTGGGAAGGTGAGTAATCAAATGAACAGAATTGATTCAGTCTTATCAACATCCTGATTCAAAAGTTTATTTTTATCTAACCAATGATGTAAGACAATTGTAACATAATAGTTACCATAGTCTAGTTCTGAATACCATTGTCAGTAGTAACATGATAGTTACCGTAGTCCAGTTCTGAATACCATTGTCAGTAGTAACATAATAGTTCCCGTAGTCTAGTTCTGAATACCATTGTCTGTAGTAACATAATAGTTACCGTAGTCTAGTTATGAATACCATTGTCAGTAGTAACATAATAGTTCCCGTAGTCTAGTTCTGAATACCATTGTCTGTAGTAACATAATAGTTACCGTAGTCTAGTTCTGAATACCATTGTCAGTAGTAACATAATAGTTACCATAGTCATTAGTTCTGAATACCATTGTCAGTAGTAACATAATAGTTACCATAGTCATTAGTTCTGAATACCATTGTCAGTAGTAACATGATAGTTACCGTAGTCTAGTTCTGAATACCATTGTCAGGAGAAACATAATAATTACCGTAGTCTAGTTCTGAATACTATTGTCAGTAGTAACATAATAGTTACCTTAGTCTGTAGTTCTGAATACCATTGTCAGTAGTAACATAATAATCACCGTAGTCTAGTTCTGAATACCATTGTCAATAGTAACATAATAATTACCGTAGTCTGTAGTTCTGAATACTGTTGTCGGTAGTAACATAATAGTTACCGTAGTCTAGTTCCGAATACCATTGTCAGTAGTAACATAATAATTACCGTAGTCTGTAGTTCTGAATACCGTTGTCGGTAGTAACATAATAATGACCATAGTCTGTAGTTCTGAATACCATTGTCAGTAGTCACATAATAGTTACCGTAGTCTAGTTCTGAATACCATTGTCAGTAGTAACATTGTAACACATGCAATCATTAAATCAAAACAAAGACAGAAGATACAGATCCTGTCATTATATAATAAGGGAAAATGGAAGTTTTCAGTAAGCACAGACTGATGAGCACGTGCACGTTATAACCTGCACATTGCTAATTTGTTATCAGCAAAGTGTATCATAAGTTTTCTTTATGACAGCCGGTGAAAATGTCCCCACAAGGACAAGGAAACGCTTTATCCTACAGAACCCTGACAACAATGGTTCCCCTTGTCCAGAGATGCTGGAGGAGACCCAGCGCTGCCTCAGTCTGCCTCTGTGTAACCAGTTCAGCTGGATGAAGACCAACTGGAGCACCTGTATGCTACCCCCTGTTGTCAGGGGCTGTGGCAAGGGGATCCGTACCAGGAGTAAGTTATCTAAAGTATTCAGAAATGTTTTTATGTTCAAATGATTAAGGAAATATGAATGGATAAACCCTATTTTGGTTTTTGACCAAGTTTGTAATTATATTTAACTGTTTAAATGGGCGGATCCAGGAATTTTGAAAAGAGAGGGTCAGACCTTTTTTTTTCAAATTACATTTGTGTATATTCCTCATTCCAAAGGCCTATGAGCAAGCAAAACCTCTCTAAGGGGGGATGCTCCTTCAGACAAGATGGATGATTTTGGGAAAGTATAATTCAATAAAATTTTAGAATTTTTACATGTGGATTTTCAAACATTTTTTCCTTATTTGATCTTCTTGCATCTTTCTCTTTTGCTTGAAATAACAAATGGAATAATGAATAAAGAATTGGCGATGATAATGAGACTGTGTGGTTTGTGTTTAGATGTAACATGTAGAAGTGAGAACAGTACGAGACAGGCTATTGACGTGTGTCTGAGGTATGCTGGCGCCATGCCCCCCATGTACAGTACGTGTTATGTATCATGTGAGGAGGACTGTCTATTCACCGACTGGGCAGACTGGAGCATTTGTGTACAAGGATGTAACGGCAAACAGTTCCGAGATCGTCGGCCAATCAAAGGTAAGCAGCACAGTCGACATGGTAAGTGAAGAGACATATTGTTCAGTTCAATGGGAATAGTGTGTATAAAACTGTATTATAATTACATCGTTTGGTGTGATGAAAAACGATACTGTACAAGTGGAAACTTTCCTGTGCGGAAATGTTTGCATTGTGACCCTTAAAACTGATTGTGGCACGGAAATTTGCACATTCGCAATAATTCTGAAGTCTATATATTCTATTACACTCACAAGTGGATATTTTTTGTGCTTATTTACTTCACACGAAAAATGTGAACATTTCCACACCAAATTTATTTTTAGGTCACCTGAGACAAAGTCTCAAGTGACCTATTGCGATCGCCTTTTGTCCGTCGTCGTCCGTCGTCCGTCGTCCGTCGTCCGTCGTGCGTCCGTAAACAATTTACATTTTCGACTTCTTCTCCAAAACCCCTGAACCAATTTCAATGAAATTTTGCAGGGACCTTCCATGGACAAAGGTCAACAAAAATAGTTGCC